GCCGCTGTGGGACTAAGCGTTGGAAATGGGTTGGTGTCAATTGTATATGATACGGGATGAATGTAGAGGTATGCGGGCCTCACTCCACCCGTATATATAAATGAGTGTGTCGTATGTTTTTCTCTTATGAATGTGTCGGATAAATGAGAAGTGTGCTGGGTTGAATGATGATGGATAAAAGGTATCATATACAAGTGATACCTTTGAATTTTCCTTCCTTGTACAGATATGTTCAGAGTAAACTCTGTTCATATCAGAATTACCACATCGTGCCACTGTGAGTAAGAACAAAGATGGATTCGTACTTCGGTCTACCGGTTACGTCTCTAGGTGCTGTTGCCGAATCAACAGAGGCCATCCCATCTGCGTGGTTGCTCAAGTACTCGAGCAAAGTGCTTGTACATGGACCGGCTTTATCCATGTAAAAAATTGCGACCTGCGTGTAAGATACACAAAGGGGCAGTGGTGAGTTGTTTACTTTTTACTCACCCAGTGGTTGAAAAAGTACCACCGTGAGATAGGGCTACACGCCAGGTACTCACGTAAAGCACTTCGACATTCTTGTCTGTCTGTATATGTGTTCAAACAAATTTTCTAAGAACCCCAAATATCCTTGTGCTCAAAATCATCAATAATTCTATCAGACTTCCTTTCGAGAAAATCAGAAAAATCGGTCTATACAAAAAGCAGATATGAACGATTTATTTTAAAGTCATTTATGAGCCGATCCTCATGAAACTTGGTGTAGTGATGGTAGTTCTTACAGAACTCGCTCAAGTCAAATTTCATTCCAATACTTTTCAGCCATTCGCTTTTTCCGTTCGGGCGCTCATGATTTCCTCAGGCTGACCCCAGGCCTTACTTGATGGTCTTAGAATCTAATAAGGACCTACCTACTAATAAGGACCTACCAACCAATATTTTCATGTATAACAAACGGCATAACAAAATTAATATACCACCCCCCACCATCATTTTTGTTGGTGGTTATAAAAACACAACTTAAAACAAAAGAAAACTTTATAGACATTTTTGCAATAAAAGAGCCAAAGGACCTGGTAGGAAGAGCAAAAAATAAAAAAATGGGAATAAGAAATTACAAATGTATAAGGTAGCTGATGATGCTGTTAGCTTTTCAAAAAGATCTCAAGTGGCCATTATAATAAAGAATTGAAGAAAGACTCTAAAAGTGTAGACGATTAATAGGATGGTGGATTCTTTGGTTGGCCAGCTTGGTAAGTTTGTAGGTTTTGGTTGACTTGCTTTTGACTTTTCACGTGGTTTGTTAAAACAAGTATTGATTCAAAAACAAACATACAATTCTTTAACTGTGGTGAAAAAAGAAATCAAAAAGTTCTTGCAATTGTATTTATATAGAAGTGGCCCCATTAGACCTTTTTATTTTTTAAAAACTTAACAAGGAAAAACATAAAAAACTTATTTATTGTTTTTACCTTACCTTATACACTCAAGTTGTCTACAAAGGTTATTCAAAAGGATGAATTTTTGTAAAATGGTAAAAACATTATAATGCATTTTTATTGCAACTCAAGAGTGTCTACAAATGTTTGTTTGAAAAATAGAAAACAAAACAAATAAAATATCATACTTTCTTCTATAAAAAAATGAATTACATATTTGTCATTGTAAATAAATATGGCCAACTTAGGGCAATTAATTGTTTCTTTTGGTGGCATTTGACCAAATATAAAATGAGGTAATTTTAAATTTGTTTGCCATTCAAGGTTATTAAAAACACTTATACTTACTTTGTGTATAATATAAATTGTACAACATTATGCCGAAATTAATAAACCACAAAATTTACATAGTAATTGAATCATTTTCTTTATATTATTGTTTATTTTTGATGTTTGACTAAATATTTACCTCTGTGGTAAGGAAATTAAAATATGTTATACACGTATTTCTATTTTAGGGTAAAATGGGCTATAATAAGGTTCAACTTAAGTGGAAATTTGGAATATTCCAATACTGTATTTATTATTCTCAGTTATAGATCCAGGATTGTTTCATTTTAAATTTATCTAACAGTATTTAATATTGTGACAAATCGAGCATCTGATTCCTTAATATTTCCATCACACATGAATATTGATGAAGCAACACGATCTGTCGCACATATGTGTGTTAAGAGGTTAAGTTCCTCAACTAACTCTATTAGAACGGCTCCATTCAAAGTTTGCTACTAGATTTGGATTAGGCGAGTTATTCATGTTTTGCCTCATTACCCTCAATCTACAAGGGGCTTGGTCTATAATGGCAAATGTCATCTGTCATCTGAAAAAGAGTTGGTAGGGTTTGAAGTTTGACATAGAAGGTCATTTAGAAAGGTATGAAAAGAAAGAATAAGACATAGAGTTGGAGAAAGAACAGAGTCTTGCTGTACCCCTTGAATTTATATTGAACTCGTATAATCCGATCCCTGAAAAAGCTCAATATAAATATAATTTTTTGACCCTATAAAGTATACATATATGTATGTATGTATGTATGTATGTATGTGCATAAGTATATTCCGAGTCCTTATATATAGCGGAGTCGATTTAGCTATGTCCGTCTGTCTTTCCTCTGAAAATTTCATTAAAAATGAGATATTTTGTAAAAATTTTAAAAAATACTAAATAAACTATTTAAATATGCAAATTGGGTGTTATTTGTAACTCTGGTACCATTATTTTTTTTTTATTATTTTTGGTACTTTTTCGTTATGTACTTCTTCGTGTACAGCCCAGAGTATATGAGTAACTGTAAAATGGGACTTTTTGGTACTTTTTCGTTCTTCAAAAGGTTCTTTCTGAATTTTTAATACTATTGAACCTTGAAACAAAAAATTAGGCATGTAGAGCCCAGTATAAGAGAGAACCTATAAAATAGGAATTTTTGGTACTTTTTCGTCCTTTAAGTGGTACTTTTTGAGTTTTATATAATATTGAACCTAGAAACATGAAATTAAACATGAAGAGCCCGGACTAAATGAGAACCTATAAAAGCGGACTTTTTGGTACTTCTTGAATTTTTTATTATATTGAATCTAGAAACATAAAATTAAATATTCAGGGTCATGAATGAATGAAAATCGGACGAAAGTTTCTTTTGGTACTTTTTCGTTCTTCAACTGGTACTTATTTGTTTTTATGCAATATTGAAGCTAGAAACATATAATCCGATATACATATATCCTAATGGAATGATTATTTTTTTTGTACTTTTTGAATATGGAACGCAAAATTAAACATGAATTAAAATTGAAAAGAGGAGTATCTGTTACTTTCATCAAATGGTACTTTTTTTCTGAATTATCGAATAGGAAGGATCCTGATGGAATGAAAATTTATAATAGTTAACTTTTTGGTACTTTTTCGTTCTTTAATTGATACTTTTTGAATATTTTTTAATATTAAACCTAGAAATATAGGATTAAACACGCAGCGTTCTGATTGAATGAAAATCTATAAAAGCTGACTTCCTGGTAATTTTTCTTTTTTCATCTAGCATATGATATGACACTATGATAAAGGGCACACAAAGGGAAAAAAGCCGTTTTAAAGTTATATACGTTTGGAACCAAATTGACACCAAAGTGTTTATAATTTTTCATTAAAATTCGTGTCAAAGTATGAACGGATAGTTATCAATTTAACAACAAAAACACACGACGTTATCAAATCAGAAAAAATATAATAAATAATACATGACGTAGTCAAATCATAAATGCTAATTCGATCTACGACTGATGGCGGCTAACAACAAAAATTAATTTTTTTATAATATTTATTTATTTATATGGAGGGTTTCTTTTCCGAATGAAAACGATGTGTTATGTGACAACGCTATGGTGTCAAAAAGAACGTTGCGTTGTCCAAATGTGTTGTTGCAAGGACAACGATGCATTGTCAAAATGACAACGGTGATTGTCAAAATGATGGGTGTTATTTAAATTTTATAAACATCCGTTGTCTTAATGTTAACAAACGTGATAAGTTCATTTTTGACAACGGATTGTATCAATTTCGGTACTTTCTACCGGTTTTTTCCCTCTGTGTATAAATATAAGATTCGGCACAGAAATATATAGAACTCTTTTGAAATTTTATACGCTTTAAAAGAATAAATGTGTACTTAATCACAGTTTCAAACATTTTATATATTTTATTTCAAACAAAAAACTATTTCATGTAGTGCTTTTTTCCTAGTCTTCCTAGAAGTTTATTTACTTACTTCACTACTTAATATTAAAACGGATGTTATAAAAATGTCCATAATTGGATAAAAAAAGGAAAACAATAGATTTACCAATAGTCATATACAACTAACTAAGGTTGTGTTTATTTTTATTGTATTATAACATAAAATTACCTTGTTATAAAATACTACAGTTTATAGTTGTAATAAATCTAAACAGCTCTACGCAAAACCCTGAATGTCGAAAGAAAACATATCAAATTTGTTTGTAACACTTTGATGGTAAAGAACCCAATGTTAGACATTTACTTGGTTTATTTATTTAAAAAGGAAGTTGAATTATTCAAAATTTTCTTACTACAGTATTGGGTTACAAATGTCACATATAACCACAACGAATGAACTAAGTAGTCATGATTAATGTCATGTCAGATTTAGTTTCAGTGTCTTTATAAAAGTCTTTGGTTGAAATTATTTAACAGTTATAGGTTTGGAAAATTAAACCCATTTGGTTTAAATAATCCATCAAATTTTATTGCCTTTATTTCAAGGTGACAAATCAGTTGCTTCAAGGTTGTAGATAAACTAATTGTGCTACAAACTTTGTTAAATTAGACATGAATAAATGATTAATCGCTTTGATATATTACTCTAAATAAAGTTGGAAAAGTAATGCGTGTCGCATGAAATTTATTTAAAAATAGTTAAAATTTAGATAAGTTAGACAATTATAAATTAAAACACATTAAATAGTAATAAAATTAATTTCTCTTTAACTTATTTTTTCTTTTCAGATATTGGACCAATTTTGCACCTTTTATCCCACTTTACAACAAATATCATTTACACCTCTAGTTCTAGTCTAAACTTTTTTAGTAGAATATTTAACAAAAACAACTAAAACCCAAAAAGAAATTTTAAAATTTTATCAAAATTCAACACCAAAATCCACTGTCATTAAAGTAGCATTAGTTATACCAGTAAACAACACACCTAATTGCAACACTAGTCTAAAATCTAAACTCAACATACCACAGATACTTAATACTTACTACTCTACTCCTGTACTCCTCCACATCAACATACCTACAAGTCTCTTGTGTCGTACATTTAGTTAAATAGAAAAATTGGTTTCAAAATTGGTCAAATGTTATGTTGCGGTTTTTGTTGTGGCAACATGTCAAAACGAGACTACAAAGTGGCCACAATGGATGGCATAGAACTCGAGCCGTTGGGCGGCGAAAAAATGGATAAGGACAAGGAAAAGGATAAAGAAAAACAAACTAATGGTGTAACATTTGGTAAGTTTTTCAAAAATATATCATTATACTGTCTTTAGATTAAAATATTATGACACTTCAGAAAAAAGAATCAAAAGAATCATTGTCATGAGAACATTTAATAAATTTAAGTAGAAATAAAAGAAAAACCTGAAAAATATTAATTAAAACTTCAAAAATTGTCCACAGAAATTATGAAAGGTAGACGCTTTGGAATTTGCAATTTCAAAGGGGGCAAGAATGTTTCCTTTCTCTTTTCTTTTATCAAGTTTTTTTTTGTGTATTTATTTGAGTTGTTATTGCATGTGTTTTAATATTCACCGTCGTCTGTTGATATTCCCTTAAATGCTTTTATTCATTTCATAATTAAGTTAAGAACCCTTAAGTGGTTCTTTCTTAATTTTTTTTCCATCTGATGTTTTGCACTCCCTTACTTTTCCTTTCAACATCTCACAGCATTCAGTGTCGTTCACGTCGTCATCAACCAAAACAAGGACAACAATAGCGTGTGCAACATCGGCAACATCAACAGCGACAACATAAACAACAAAATCGTTTTCATGTTGATGCTTTAATGAAGAAAATGCTATAGATGCGCTTTGGATCAGAGATCTAATAGAATGTTAACAATAAATTAGGGACCATTCTCGGAATTTTAAACTAGAACTGAACTAGAACTGAACTAGAACTGAACTAGAACTGAACTAGAACTGAACTAGAACTGAACTAGAACTGAACTAGAACTGAACTAGAACTGAACTAGAACTGAACTAGAACTGAACTAGAACTGAACTAGAACTGAACTAGAACTGAACTAGAACTGAACTAGAACTGAACTAGAACTGAACTAGAACTGAACTAGAACTGAACTAGAACTGAACTAGAACTGAACTAGAACTGAACTAGAACTGAACTAGAACTGAACTAGAACTGAACTAGAACTGAACTAGAACTGAACTAGAACTGAACTAGAACTGAACTAGAACTGAACTAGAACTGAACTAGAACTGAACTAGAACTGAACTAGAACTGAACTAGAACTGAACTAGAACTGAACTAGAACTGAACTAGAACTGAACTAGAACTGAACTAGAACTGAACTAGAACTGAACTAGAACTGAACTGAACTAGAACTGAACTAGAACTGAACTAGAACTGAACTGAACTAGAACTGAACTAGAACTGAACTAGAACTGAACTAGAACTGAACTAGAACTGAACTATAACTGAACTAGAACTGAACTAGAACTGAACTAGAACTGAACTAGAACTGAACTAGAACTGAACAAGAACTGAACTAGAACTGAACTAGAACTGAACTAGAACTGAACTAGAACTGAACTAGAACTGAACTAGAACTGAACTAGAACTGAACTAGAACTGAACTAGAACTGAACTAGAACTGAACTAGAACTGAACTAGAACTGAACTAGAACTGAACTAGAACTGAACTAGAACTGAACTAGAACTGAACTAGAACTGAACTAGAACTGAACTAGAACTGAACTAGAACTGAACTGAACTAGAACTGAACTAGAACTGACTAGACTGAACTAGAACTGAACTAGAACTGAACTAGAACTGAACTAGAACTGAACTAGAACTGAACTAGAACTGAACGAGAACTGAACTAGACTGAACTAGAACTGAAACTAGAACTGAAACTAGAACTGAACTAGAACTGAACTAGAGCTGAACTAGAACTGAACTAGAACTGAACTAGAACTGAATACTAGAACTGACTAGAACTGAACTAGAACTGAACTAGAACTGAACTAGAACTGAACTAGAGCTGAACTAGAACTGAACTAGAACTGAAACTAGAACTGAACTAGAACTACTAGAACTGAACTAGAACTGAACTAGAACTGAACTAGAACTGCACTAGAACTGACTAGAACTGAACTAGAACTGAACTAGAACTGAACTAGAACTGAACTAGAACTGAACTAGAACTGAACTAGAACTGAACTAGACACTGAACTGAAAGAACTGAACTGAACAGAACTGAACTAGAACTGAACCTAGAACTAACTGAACTAGAACTGAACTAGAACTGAACTAGAACTGAACTAGAACGACTAGAACAACTAGAACTGAACTAGAACTTAACTAGAACTGAACTAGAACTAAACTGAAAAAGTTAAAATTGCCATAATATTTCGTTTTTAAAAAGTTTAAAATACTACTCCTTTAAATTTATGCCACATTTACATGCAAAAATGCGAATATTTACCCTTAACGTTTTGTAAAACATCAGGCACATTTAAATGACTGTATATGTTCTGGTAACATTCCTTTTGTGACAACAATTGCTTAATTGCACGCGTTTCTGTGTGTAAAATCGTCATCATCGTTATTCTTCTCATCGGGGTTTGTTGTTTTGAATGCATTGTTTAAATATTTTCACCTATTTTATTATGAATGTAATTTCTTTTTTCAGTTTTTTTTCAGGCTTATGAGTTGAGTATAGAAAACTAAAGAGTTTTCAAAAATATACAAATAAATGTGGAAAAATCCCCTTGGCATTTCTATGCGATTTTATGTTATGCCAGTCTTAATAATAAAACCATTATCATTCTAGTCATCCATGCTAAACATTAAATTATTTATGTTTGAATGTGAGGTGTTTTATTTCCCAAATGAAGAAAACACATAATTTAAGATTATATTAAAACATTAAGCAAAATATACATATATATATTCATATTTCAGTACTTAAGGAACTGGGGAATGTAAGGAAACTGTGATGGGCAAATTATAGAGCGATATTCTACTTATATGTTTAACGATGTTTTATAAATTTAGACACATTTTAAACAGAATACGACATTTATTATTCCCATCACTGTATGTTTTTATCGAATTTTTGCCACAAAGTTAATCACACAAATTGAATACAAATTCAAACACATAAATCAGACATATTAAAAATGAAGAAATTGAATAAAAAAAACTTATTATGAACTAAAATTTAATATAACTAAAATTGAAATTTAAACTTTCCCTAAAAAACCTACCATTGCAATGCATTGCAAAGAATGAGTCGCCATATTTTTTCTCTGATTTTTTTGCTTGTTACGACAACGCGGTGAATAAACCACTATACCAGCAAAATTTTATCCTCCTACCAATTGTCTAGCTTTCATTTCTCTTCCTTTGGAATTCAATACTGTCAGTCTGTCTCACATACAACATACAGGCAGTCTTCGCAGTTAGAGACGTCTAAGGGGAATATTATTTTATTTTATTTTATTGCCAAAAGGCCTTTGTTTGTTACAGATTTACATAAAAAATATCTACTTGTAACAAATTAAAAAGGTGTCTTTTAAGGAAGTCGTGTTGCTGTTTAACATCCTTTTTACGGTTTGTTAAATAAAGTTTTTTCTTCTTTAAATTGTCGTCTCAAAATTTTAGACAATAATGGGAAAATAGAAGAAGAAAATAAGAGAATTGAAAACTTTGACTGTTGTTCGATTAACATGTCTAAATGCCAGATTAAGATTTTATATTTTCATTAAAAAAAATTACAATAAATATTTAAAATTTGACAAGGAAAAACACAAAAGACAAGTGGTTGTAGGCAATAATAATAATTGAAATGTGTTATTTGTAAAGAAGTTTAGAAATCTATAAAGTAATAACAATACAGAATGAATAACAGTTTATGCGGCGTATGAGTAGTATGACAAGGAATATTAAATATTTATAATACGCCACCATTTGTAATCATTTATTAAAATTTATGTTAAAATACTAGTTCTATTCTAGTTAAGCTACTAGAACTGAACTAGAACTGAACTAGAACTGAACTAGAACTGAACTAGAACTGAACTAGAACTGAACTAGAACTGAACTAGAACTGAACTAGAACTGAACTAGAACTGAACTAGAACTGAACTAGAACTGAACTAGAACTGAACTAGAACTGAACTAGAACTGAACTAGAACTGAACTAGAACTGAACTAGAACTGAACTAGAACTGACTGAACTAGAACTGAACTAGAACTGAACTAGAACTGAACTAGAATTGAACTAGAACTGAACTAGAACTGAACTAGAACTGAACTAGAACTGAACTAGAATTGAACTAGAACTGAACTAGAACTGAACTAGAACTGAACTAGAACTGAACTAGAACTAGAACTGAACTAGAACTGAACTAGAACTGAACTAGAAATGAACTAGAACTGAACTAGAACTGAACTAGAACTGAACTAGAACTGAACTAGAACTGAACTAGAACTGAACTAGAACTGAACTAGAACTGAACTAGAACTGAACTAGAACTGAACTAGAACTGAACTAGAACTGAACTAGAACTGAACTAGAACTGAACTAGAACTGAACTAGAACTGAACTAGAACTGAACTAGAACTGAACTAGAACTGAACTAGAACTGAACTAGAACTGAACTAGAACTGAACTAGAACTGAACTAGAACTGAACTAGAACTGAACTAGAACTGAACTAGAACTGAACTAGAACTGAACTAGAAGAGACTGAACTAGAAACTGAACTAGAACTGACTGAAACTGAACTAATGAACTAGAAAATAGAACTGAACTAGAACTGAACTAGAACTGAACTAGAACTGAACTAGAACTGAACTAGAACTGAACTAGACTGAACTAGAACTGAACTCGAACTGAACTAGAACTGCACTAGAACTGAACTAGAACTGAACTAGAACATGAACTAGAACTGAACTAGAACTGAACTAGAAACTGAACTAGAACTGAACTAGAACTGAACTAGAACTGAACTAGAACTGACTAGGAACTGAACTAGAACTGAACTAGAACTGAACTAGAACCTCGAACTGAACTGAACCTAGAACTGAACTAGAACTGAACTAGAACTGAACTAGAACTGAACTAGAACTGAACTAGAACTGAACTAGAACTGAACTAGAACTGAACTAGAAACTGAACCTAGAACTGAACTAGAACTGAAACTGAACTAGAACTGAACTAGAAGAACTAGAACTGAACTAGAACTGAACTAGAACTGAACTAGA